ACCTCCAAACTTGTTTTATTTTAGACCAGAACAATGACACAGTGGTCTTATTCAATCAAAATAATAGAAAAGAATGACCAACAAGGGGAGTAACAGCAGTTTAAACAGCGACTGGTGGCAAGAACTAGAAGCACAGTCACCTATGACATTCTTGATATTATGTACATAAATAATAGCATTGTTTGAGCCAGAAGCTATCATATAACTCAGTTCTGGTTGTGTCCCATGGTCGTGATGCCAACGAATAGCATTAATAAGTTTATGATGTTGCTGGATGGTACACAATAGTTTCAAATCAGGAGCTCGAAGTATTTCAATTGATCTACAACATTAAAGAAAGGCATAATCAATTAATACAGAAATTGTTGGGAGAAATAAGAACTTTAGCCTCTGTTCTCCAAAACCAATTCATACACCACAATCCTACCCTGAATATCCTACAAATTGGAATAGTATACTACAATAGCATAGCCATCTCTATTTCTAAATATGAATCCATTCTTGATATGTGTTTTATCTCCTTGCATGGTATGCTAATTTTATGAAAAGAGGGATGCCTTAAATCAAGTTATTGATGAATATAAAGGTTTGGCAAATTTTGTTCCACAACATTAAAATAGAATGATATTGGATAGGTACAAAAAGTGCTCAAGCCAGATAGAATCCAATTATTAACCTTGCCAGTTATCTATTAAAAAAAAGTGGTAAGTCAAGGGAAAAACTCATAAATCCATCTCACATTCTCTTAATTTAATCTATGTAGGCTCCAACTGAACCTCTATTTTATAAATGCTGATTCAATGGGAATACTAGCCTGGTTCAACATCATGCTAAATCAGCGTACTTTGATGAAAGTAACTTGTAGCAAGTTCACATACTCTCCACTCCAGTGCAACTATAAGGTATTTAGATGTGTTTGCTTCCATTTTAAGTTGCCCACAGCTTCCTACGTTCTCACCAAACTATGGTTAATTTTGATCATGATTGGTTTGAAATAAGCCAATTTCAAACTGTAACTTATAAAGCTTATGAATTCTTTAAACAGCCATAATATTAGCCACAGTTTATGGTATGGTCAGTACAATAAACTACTTTAACTGAAATCAAAAGACACTCCTGGAGGCTGCAATGAGAGGAAGGAAAGGCTTGCTGTGGCTCATCCATGTTACCTTTTCCTACAATTTAACTCATCTTCCCCAACCTAGGCACCCTTCAGAAGTGTGTCTGACTCCCAGCATTCTCAGTAGTGCTTATGCTATGTGAGGAATTCTGACACTGAAGTTTACATGTCTAGAGGACACCTAGATTGGAGAAGGCTGGTTATACTGAATACAGGTGTTTTTTTCCCATATATCTAACTTCTGACTACAATTGCACACAGTCAGGCACTCAAAACACCATGACAGCATAGTCAGTCAAGTATTTGGAGATGTCATTTTGTCGGCTCACACTTTACCTGCTCATATCTACTGGGGAAATTTCTCTGTGAACTAAGTAATTGTTTTTTTAAATCAGTGAAGAATTTTATACTGCTTCTATTGCCTAGTAAAGGAGCTCAACGTAGTAGTTTCTGTCATAGAATAAATAAAGAAGGCAGTTAATATGTTTGGTTTTTACCACAGTGACTCTCAACCACTATGCCTCCTACTAAATAGCAAATTAGAATTGAGTTAAAATTTCAGCACATACCCATCTTCATTACCAATAGCCAAGAGAGTGCCATCTGGTTTCCAGCTGATTTCTGTGTGTGCTGGTAATTTGTGCTAAAAGAAAATAGACAAAACTGTAGAGCCTTAATAGTACTGACATTTGTTCAATAAATGTTGTAAAAATAGTCAAATGAAGGTTTTCAGGGAGAATAGAGGAGTCAGGGAATTGTATGTGTTTTCAGAGTTTTGGCCACAATAATCTAGCAGCTACCGCAAGACAAGCAAAGAACCAGCTTGATGTAGTGGTCAAGGTACTAGACTAGAAATCTGGAGACCACGCGTTCAGTCAGAAGATTATAATTAAAAACTACTCTATGGGGGACATTTGACTATGGAGTTTGAACAACTTATTTATTTAGAATCTGTCTGTCTGTCTGTCTATTTGTCTGTCAAACAATACAAATACATTATCTGTAAAAGAACAACCAAAGCGAGTCTGAACAAGTCATGCATGCCATCATAAATACAAGAAATCTATATGGCAGCTGCAACTTCTTGCTGAAAATAGATGTGATTACCACAAAAATAGTCAGAAAAAATTCAGGAAACAGGTTAGGATGACAGGGTGCTGTCTATGAGAAGACTTGGAGATGAAAGTAACCTCAGCAGGAGATCAGAAACTGTGTTTTCATTCAGCTGTTTGGTTCCACCCCCTGCTCCTACTTCTTAAGTACAGTATTGGACACCCAACAAGAAGTATACCTATCAGTAAAATGAAATATGATAGTGTGACACAATAAAAACATCTGGCTGAATGCAAACCTCTTGCTTATCTCAAAGCTATTTCTTTCACTTAAGCCTTCCAATGCAAATAAGTTGCAGAAACATAATGATAATAAATGGCAATTTTGCTACAACAGATAATACAGTAATTTGACATAAAGAATGTTCCATAATCGATGGATCTGATCAATCTACTTGGAAGGTTTTTAAATATTTTTTGAAGTTGTAACAGAAGAATGAAACTTTTAAAGGTTTAAAAGTTTTAAATTTCTAACAGATTTTCAGTGAAGAAGACGACAGAAAACAAAGTAGCATTCTATGCCTTAAAGACTGTTCAGGAAATTCAAGGCACTCTTGAATTTATTTATTAGAATGTTTATGCTGTTCCTTTCTTACAGGCTCTGAGTAGTATATGAAAGTCAGACTCTCCATCAACACAATTGTTTTGTTTTTGCCTTCTAATGATTACTAGATCATAACTGTACAGTAATAGTCCATGTCCATTGCTATCCTGGTTATTTGCACTAATTCTTTCTCTCCCTAATGCCTATGTTATTTTGCTTCAGTCCTACTTTAATCAATGGTTCCTTTTTTCAACCATATTTCATCCACTGCTACCTTGTTCCTGTTATATACCTCTGTTCTTCAGACCATTGCCTACACTGCATCTTGATTAGTTTGTCTAACATTCTGTTCTCTTTTGTAGTATACAGTTCGTACTGACCTTAACAATGCTGGGAAATTTATTCAGAAAATTTAGCCTTCCTGCGGCTTTGTTTAATTGTCCATTGCTTAAGCTTTGCCCTTTATTTATGTACAATTCTTATAGACCAACACATTCCAAAGCATCTTATCACTTGCTTGGAATCAACAAGCTGAAATGAGTTCCAAGGAACATTGCATTATGCCATCCCAATCACCTCATCAGCAGATTCCAGACCTGAGCAAATTGGAATAATTTTATCAGCAAAATGTTGCCTGTAGCAACTCATGGGAAGTTCTTGCTGCTCACTGTTCCTCAGAAGGGTGCTAGTCAGCTTAAACAGGCTGCTGGGGCACACTGATTAGTGCAGTGAGGACAGAAAAGTAAGCACGCTTTGCCACACTTAATGCCACAGGGTAAACTTGAACATGGGCTCTTATCCTTCTTCAGTCAAGTTCAATTCTGAACTTTTTGCTATTCATTTGTGGGCTTCATGCCCCATAGCTTCCCAACATTGTGGGATTCCTTTCTTACCCATACTTTCTATTTGTATAAGATTTTAATTTCCATCTGACTTTTTTCTGTTTCATTACAGAAGGTAAGCTGCCAACAGCCCAGTTCACATAGAGCTGATCATTCTATGCCAGTGTATCAAAAGATACTTTGGAGTCAAAGATTACATTCTCAAAATTGAAACATAATACAGATGGAAAAGTAACAAGCAACTTTCATTCCTAGCTCTAAATTTTTACTCACTTTGATTGAATTTGTTTCTCGGATGAGTTTGTTGATATCATGAGCTTCTCCATTTAGATTCCAGGGATTATGTTGGAAAACAAGTCCTTCTCCTGCGCAGCTATACAAGGTTATGGAAGGTCTATCACCATCTCCCCCTACAATAAATAAGAAAACAGTGCTATTGTTTCTTAAAGTGTATATTTTAATGCAATTGGTAGAAAAAAATCTAAAACATATTGTTTTACATATTTCTTTTAATATAATTAATACCATCACTCTTTTATTGGATTAAGGCACCATCATGCAACATGACTGATGATCTAAATCATCAACGGCCAGTTGGGGTATTCCTGATGTCTGAGATTGTATTATGAAGCAATTTCAAAACTTGTGAATATCTTAATATCTTACATGTTTGAACATGCCCACTATAGGAACACGTTAAAAAAAGCCTTAAGTATTTATTTGATTTATCCCGCCTTTATTTTTTGTGAACTCAAGGCAGCGTACACACCTAATGCTCCTGCCTCCCACAGCAACAACCTTGTGAGGTGAGTTGGGCTGAAAGAGAATGACTGGCCCAAAGTCACCCAGTTGGCTTTCATGTCTAAGAGAGGCCAGCACCTTAGCCACTATACCAAACTGGCTCTCATAAAGTAATCTTTATGTTCACTGCAAGTCTACTTCCGTTATGGATTTTTTCTGTTTTTATTTATACTAACAAATGCAAAATCCAAACAGAACAAAAAAGTTCCATTGTGTGTCAAGATTTTAGTTTACTTGCCGTGTAGGTTACTCAAAATGAAATCTAGCTCCTGACATTATGTTATAAGCTGTATGAATGGGAATTTTAATTTATATATATAGGTCAAAATGGAGCACTGGATTTACGGTAAAGATTGCTTTCCTGCAGCAGAGAGAGGGACTCCTACAGGGGATATTCTTCCCCCTCTTTCAAGTACATCCACATAGCCTCTTTACCTTGGTGCAAGGACACCCCTGCAGCCCATCCCTGAGCACTTTTGCATATCCCTATGTTTGTATCTCAAGGTCAGCCAGAGGTTGAGGCAGCCTGAAGATGGGTTTAGATCCTCAACTAATCAAGCAATGTTTTCCATTTTATTGAGGCTTGAGTCACTCTATATAGTCAACATGGGACGCCAGGTTTCATAGGTTTTCAAGCATCATAAGATCTGCTCCCAAAGAACATAAACTAGCCTGACCATCTAACACAGGATTTCTCTCTCTGTTTCTGGAGAGGAAAAATCATATATTTTTCTATGTTCAGAATTGTCTCCCAATGCTGAATATGATGAGATGCAGACAGTTCTTTCCCTTGGAACTCCCAATCAATGTTATCTACACAACTTTTCTTCTCTACAATATAAAAAGGGAACAAATTAGCAGTCATCCAGGTATAAATGAAGATGAACTCCCTGTTTGTGCAGATGATCCCTCTTGGCAAGATCTGGTAGAAAAAATGAATATATTGTGAGAAATTGCATGAATAATGTAGCTGTGATCTAGGGTGTTTAAAAACCCAAGTTTCTAATAAAGGCATCCAATCTTCTCCCCCAGATGAGAGGCATAGCTATTGTGCTTACAGACTCCTCCATGTGGGGTAGACTGGTAAGCATCCCTGGTATGAGGCTGAGTTTGCTGGGTATAGGTTATTGCAGTCTCTGGGTGTCACTGGTACAGCTTTCTTCTGGTTCTCATCTTTTTTGTCTTCTGCTTCTTCTGTTTCCTTTAACAACTCTATTTCATGTAAGTTCCTCCTCACTGTTGGTGTTCCTCAAATTTCAGTCCTGGGCCCTTTTCTCTTTACACTCTTCCTTTGGGTGACTTGATCACTAGCCTTGGTCTTCAATATCACAACTATGCCAATGACACTCAAATGTGTTAATCTTCTAAGTCTGATTTGGTGCCTTGGGATTCCGTAGTGAGCTGTTAACAACAAATTTCCTCATGGATGACTACCCACTATCTTAAGCTCAACTTGGACAAAACGGAGGTTTTAGTGTTTTACCGTGAGCATGCTTCCCTCCACTTTCTGATTTTTCTTCTCCAGGGCCATCCCTGGGTCAGCTGACCAGAATTTGGGCATGCAGATAAATAATAGATTATCCCCAGTCTTCTGTTGCAGCTAGTGTGAGGACCTGCTATTTTCATATGCACAACATTCAACATATTCACCAGTACTTGACACCTGATGCAGCAAAGCTTCTCATCTGTGCTCTGGTTGTGCTGAATTACTGCAACAGCTACTGGTAGGCCTCCCCTCTTGCTCTACTGGCCCCGATTCAAAATACTGCAGTCCATGTTATTTTGAATCTTCTCTCTTTCTTTCATATCTCTATATAGTGCAAAGTTTTGCACTGGCTCCCAATTAGGGCCAGGTTCCACTCTAAAACCTTAATTTTAGCCTTTGGGGCACTGCAGCATGGTACTCCTCCCTACCTATCTTCACTGCTGAGCATTACTTCCCACAAAGTCTACTCACTCAGCCTACTTGGCAATTCTTGTGGTTCCCACTACTCTGACAGCAAATTCAAGACTGAGGGCCACTCGGGACCTAGTCTGATAGCTTTGAAAATGACTTCCCCTTACACTTTGGATTACGGGACTTTTTAGTCTTTAAATCAAAGTTTTTGATTCTGAGGAACAGGTGCTCCTGTAATTGGGGATTTGTGGCTTCTGGATTGGCCTTGGTGACAGGCTTCCCTGGTTTTTATGTTGTAAATTGTTTAATTTTACAGGTAGTCCTCGCTTAAAGATGGTAATCGGGACCTGGGAATTCTGTCGCTAAGCAATGCGGTAATGAGACACAATGTCAATTGACCGTGCCAACTTACAATGGCAGTTCCAGCAATCCCAGTTGCTGTCGTTAAGCGAATCCCACACAGTCACAGCATCCCGCAGTCATGTGATCGCCACTTGCGACCTCCTACTAACTACCCTATTGATTTTGCTTATCAGAAGCTGGCAGCAAAGGTCACAAATGGCAATCACATGACAGCGGGATGCTGCAACATGTGTGAGCTGGTTGCCAAGAGCCTTAATCACAATCATGTGACTGCGGGGATGCTGTGATGGCTGCAACTACCAAGACCCATTGTAATTACCCCATGTCCAGTGCTGTCATAACTTTGAATGGTCGCTGAACAAGTGGCTGTTAAGTGAGGACCACCTGTACTTGAATTAATTAGTTATATATTGTCAGTAGATTTTACATGGTCTACTTGATCTACTCTTTTTATTATAAATACTGGTTTAGTATTTCAGTTTTCTTTTAAATTAGAGCTGCCTGGGTTTATAATACATCTAATTTATAATCCTGTGTATCTTAATTGTTTGCTATTCCTTTATTTCTATGCTGTGCCTTAGTTTTTATATATATGTGCTTTTGAGTCAATGTTGACTCTTGGAGACTGCTTGGAGATTCCCTGAAGTTTTCTTGGTAAGATTTTGGAAGTGGTTTGCCATTTCCTTCTTCCTAGGGATGAGAGAAAGGGACTGCCCCAAAGTCACACAGCTGCCTTCATGCCTAAGGCAGGACTAGAACTCACAGTCTCCTGGTTTCTAGCCTGGTATCTTAACCACTACACCAAGACAACTATATGCTTAGTTTCTAAGTGTGATATAAATACCGTATTTTTCCGACTATAAGACGATACTTTTTTCTAAAATCCTTACGATAAAAATTGAAGGGCGTCTTATTCAAGGAAGTAAGCCGAGGAGAGAACCACGCTGTTGCAAAACTGCCTATACTTTGTCTCTGCAAACAGGCTTCCTCCTATTTCTAGGCTCCAATCATGAGTGAAATAACTTGACTCTGCAAACAGGCTTCCTCCTATTTCTAGGCTCCAATCATGAGTGAAATAACTTG